TTGAACATAGTCGAGAGAAACCTAACATCTAAATTATTTCAACAGCAAGTCTATCTGATTCCTATCAACAAGTTTTTCAAAGATGGAAGGCCAATGAAAAACATGCCATGTTTTTTGAGCAATATCTATCATCAACCCCTATCTCATCAAATTTCATCCACCCTCTTGTAATTTGAATTTATGCTTGCTTGCAACATGTTTATGCTCTTTGATTTTAGTTGCTCATTTACCTATCTTGAGTTTATCCTTTTTTCTTCTTCCACTTGCTGTAATCTCTAATGTGGTGTGGATCACCCAAATATGAATGCACCATGTAACTCTTGCTCACTCACTGCCCCTTTAGATGCTCCATACCACCCCAAAAGCAACTATGATGTTGTGTGTCAACCATGAGAGGTATTGATAAATACCTTCCACTAGGTTAAGCAAACTATCTGACTAATAACACCCCTAATACATGACATACCTATAATACACAAAGAATAAAAATCAAAATAAAAACATTACACCTCAACACTTGAGTTTCAAGAGTGAATATTATAATAAGGATCCAATTACAGGAATCAATCATGTTTGAACCTTGACTATTAAAGAAAAAGACTTCATTCATCTTGAATTACAACAAGCCATCATCCAGATCTTAAAAATTAATGGCACAGGTCTTGTACAGGCATAAGAATCTCTTAGGTAGTTCTTGAAGTGATCTTGGCAAGTTATCAAAAGGATCTTGTTAGCAGGAAGATCTTAAAAAGTCATTAAAATTCACTTGACTTGTTATTGAGATGATTTTAACCAATTCCTACCCATGTGCCCCCCAGTTGAACACTAGCTTTGTGTTGCTCATGAGATATCATGATGTTGTTATTCTTTGAAGAAATAACATGGCTCCATCTAATCATACTCTCTCATTACACTCTGTTTATTGATCAAAATAGCATTGCTGAAGAAAAAGATTGTCACAAGGGGTACTCTCCATAAACCTCATTTATGCTTGTAGGAAGATATGCAACATGTGGAAAAGGCTGGTGGTCTGCTGTACAGGTCTCTGCAATTCTTTGTTGCTAAGAAGTTGTGCTTTTGATTTTCTTCACAAGAAGCATATACTTATCTGAGTTGAATCAACAGATTTCCTGTTTAAAGTTTATTTATGATTCAATTTTTGGCATCACTATTTTAATGCTGACCAAAAACAAAATCCTCAAAAAATGTTTTTCCCATAAACCTTGGTCATCCCTGTAAAAGGCTGTGCAACCCCTAGCTAATTCTGGTGGTATTTTTTACGGGTCTGTATGTAGCTGGGTTGCTGAGATATTGTGATTTTTATATCCTTCTGGGGGCAATTTTTAATAAAGATAGCCTTGATCCTTGGTGGTATTGACTACAGCCTAGGTGTGGATCCAACTTTGCTCTTGCCAGATGGCCTTGAGACCTGGTTGTTTAAATTACAGCCTGGGAATGTGGATATGTTTGCTCTGTATGATTGGCCTTGAGCCCTGGTAGTTTTGATCAGGCTTGAGGTCAATCAGCCAGAGCAAAGATAGCAGTGAGTATTGTGCCCAGGCTGTAATATAAGCCACCAGGGCTCAAGGCTATCTGGCAAGAGAAAAGATGGCCCTGTACCCAGCCTGTAGTCAATACCACCAATACCGCAACCGCTCCGCACAAAAGAGCGTGTGCGGAGCGTGTGCGGAGCGTTTTTGGCCTGCGCTACAGCCCATACTCTGCTGTGCGCAGCCTGCGCACCGCACCCAGGGGCGGATTTTTCCTGAGCGCAGCAACCCGCTACGCACAGGGCCCTGACCCGAGTTGCTCCGCTCATGAGCAGAGCAAAACCCTGTACCCAGGGGTACAGGGTTACCCAAAGTTACTTGGACACCTGCGCCAAACTGCCTCGCCAAACTTCTCAACCATACTTCACTCGAAACATCAAATGGACGGTGGCGAAGGCGCATGGACCCATTTTCGAACTATTCTGTCGACCCCCTGGACAACTTTCAATCGATGGTCAGCTTGTGGTTCGTTTTGCAGAGGTACTTTCTTTGTATTTATGAGGTATGTTCCGTTTCCTTGATTTCCTTCTCTAAAATCAATCTCATCCTTTTTAAATTGAATCCTATTAGTTTCCCTTTCTTAACCATGCCTGCTTCCAAATCCCACTCTCTTGCCTCAACTTCCAGTAGCCTCCAGGTACCAGGCAGGTCGTCGAGTCGAACTCTTCGACCACCAAGCCCGGCTCGATCCCAGCCTGGTTTTGTCATCCCTCCGAAAGATTCTCGTACATCCATAGCTGTATCACCAACTATTTCACATCAATCTGCTTCACCACGACCAATGTCTCTAACTATAAAACAAAAGGAAGTCCATCCAAAGGCTAAGACCACATCAAAAGGCAAGGTAGGTCAATATTAGTCTATGATCACATTCAATTCATACATGTTGCAGAGCTAACACTTGATATTTGATTGAATTTCTTAGAGTCGTTCGTCAATCAGCAAACATGCCCGATCCCCATCAGGCAGCCCATTGAAAGGTACCTCCCCTTTGGTCAAGAGAACCAAAACGAATGTGAGTTTCTTTCTCGGTCTTCACACTCTTTCCTCTCTTTGTCAAGTCCTAATCACACTATCATCGTTTCATTTAGGGCTTTGAAGTTCCTGAAGGCTGTGACTTGTCTCAAGAGTCAGACATCGAGGTTGTCGGGTCCAACCACCAGATTGGCTATAATCAGGTAAGATCCATCAACGTGAAGGATCTTCTTAAGTATTTCTACCCTCCTAAGGTATTGGTCTTTGTTTAATGATGTTGTTTTTTTTAAAGTAAACTGACACTTTCTTTTGTAGGGTCTCCAATTCCAGTGCCGCTGGTGTCATGGTACGTATAGTAAGGGGAAGACCTCCTATTACGGCTTATGGGGTCACCACGACGGCAAACCAAATCGACCTGCGTGCACAATGCGTCATAAAGCCATCAAGGCTGGTGTCGTCCTGCCTCCATCCTATGTGGAAACGATTGAAGCTGGATCCAAGGAGAAGACAAACTCTTTGGATTCTTACTTCAAAGGACCGAAGTTCACACCCGACTTGATGAACATGACACTCGTACTGTGGGTTGTACGTCACACTCTTCCTTGGGCCCGTTTTGAGGATGCCGCCCTTTGCGCGGCTTTTTATACTGTCAATCGCGGTGCAGTGGTCCGATCGAGAACCTGGGCAGCCCAGCAAGCGGTACTGCTTCATTCTTCATTGCACGAAAAGGAAATCAACACGGTTAAGGTAAGTCTATATTTGTTTTCTAAATCTCCGTATTCTGTTGCATCATATACTGATCAAACTTGCCTTGATCATAGAATAATCAAGGCAAGTTTTCTTTGGTACATGATGTATGGACGACTAAAGGCAACCGATATGCCTTCATTGGAGCAAGTGCAAATTATATCGACAAGGACTGGCATTATCAAACAACCCATCTTACTCTTAAGATGGTTGCTTGGAGGCATTTCGGCGCGCTCCTAGCAAGACCGATTGGGAAATTTTTGATTTGTCACGGACTACACAAAAAGATAAGTGTTTCCTGTAATTTATCTTTTTCTTCCCTTTTTGCTTTGTCATGTTTTCTAATCTCTTTTCATCTCTTTCTTACATGCTCTGTCAGACCACTGACAGTGGCAGTAACAACGGACCGATGGCCGCTGAAATGCAGTCTATGTTCTTGAACGCAGAAGATCCGACTTTTTGGCAAGCCTCGGCACATCACGTGCGGTGCTATGCCCATAAGCTCAACCTCACAGTTGGGCATGGGCTCAAAGCGATTGGTCAAAAGGTTAGTGTTGCGAAGCCATGCGTCCCACTTAACCAGGCTCTCCCTATCCCAACGTTCGAGGTCAATGATGGCAACAACGAGGTTGACATCGACGATGACCAATCTGATGACGAGGACAACACCGGTCTTCCTGACAAGCCATATGGGGTAGATGAAGTCGAAACAAATGAAGAGCTGGTCTTATCTGGGGTAGCTTGTGAAGAGGATGACATTGTTGCGAATGCCCTCTCAAAAGTAAGTCCTTCTTTATCTTATTCATATCATCTCCCCTCCTGAAATTAAAACTTTGACTGTTTTCAGATCGACACTGTCAGTGGCCAGATTGCCAGCAGCGCAGCCAGGCGATGCGACTTCAAGTCATGTGCAACTCGGATGGGTTACAAAGGCCGCATGCTCAAGCGGCCTTGCAAGACACGCTGGAACAGTCACTACAAGAGCCGCAAGGTAGCCACCTGTACGTTACTAAAACGACTGAAGTAATCCGACCCGCCGGGGATCGCTACCGTCCGAGGGGGTCCGAAATGAATCGAAGATGCATCTATTTTCATGTAGATACATCTTGGTTCACGTTGAAATTCTGCTAAGTACAAGTTTTACATATATCCCCAACCAAGCCATGGCTACACCAAACACCCCTCACCACACCACACCACCCGCCACCATTGAGTTTTTCTCACCACCATACCACCAACTTACCCCACACCCCTCACCACACCACACCACCCGCTACCATTGAGTTTTTCTCACCACCATACCACCAACTTACCCCACACCCCTCACCACACCATACCACCTGCCGCCATTGAGTTTTTCTTACCACCATACCACCAACTTACCCTGCTTACCACCACCACACCAAACTAATGATTCGAGTACATACCAACTCTACACCACCCGCCGCTATTGATTTTTTCTCACCACCATACCACCAACTTACCCTGCTTACCACCACCACACCACACCACTACTTCAAGTACATACCACGTGGACCACGTACCCGGGACAGCATACACCAGATACAGCATACAACACAGCACCGTGTACAAATAAAACCGCTGTTGCAATCAACTCGGACCAACCACTACTCCAACCTCTGCCCACACAACCACCATCATCATCACCTGATTATTATCCACCAAGCTTCACCATCAACACCCACCCACAACATACCACGCTTCTCAATGCCTTACGCAACTCGTGCTCGTGGTGGTGGCCACGTTGGCACAAATACACGACGTCGAACTGATTCTTCAACATCGCGTGACTCTCCCGATCCTGAGCTCAGTCTTGAAGACTCTACTGAAGATGAAGAGGAAGAAGACGAAGAGATACCCACCAGAAACAAGCGCAAGAGGAAGACCGTCCAACTTCCAACCATTCACAACTTCCACGAACTCGGTCTTCAATGGGGACAAGCACGCGCTGACCGGATCCTAGGGCGTCAGCGTCATCTCAAGACACGAGTTTCACCAACGACCCTTTTCGAGGCTCAAGCGCTACAAGCTCAATACAACCTGGATAAAACTATGCTTTGCATAGCTGTGGGGGTCAGCCGGCCTACACTCGATGCTGCGTTGTATGTCTGTATCTTCCTTGTTCTGAAAAGAATATATCTTCAGCTAACATATCTTCCTACCTATCTCTCTAGAAATGAAGGTCCTCTCGCCCGTGAACCCAACAAATATACAAACTTCCAGACATACAGTATTGCAAGCACCACTACCCCTAGTAAGCTCGACTATCCAGTTAAACTTGTTGTACTTGTGATTTGTCTTTTATTTAATATTGGTAGTGTCACTTGATGGTCATCTCCGTCATCTCCGATTGCCTTTACTTATTTAAAATCTACCTCTTTCATGTAGTGCCTCCCAAAGGACAATCGGTGGGGTTCAAGGAGCGCAACCAGATAGTTGGGCAAACATGGTCAAACTTCAGTGACGAAGAGAAGCATATCTCTAGCCCGACAGTATTTGAAAAAATTATCCAGGAAGTAACACGAGAAGTTCAACTGACTGAGTTGCCCATCGCCCCTCCAAATGACTTGGATACTTCCAAAAACTTAACTGCCGAAGAAAAAGCCATCTTTATACCTGTATTCAAACGCCTGGTGAACATGAAACCTATCAAACGGGACTTTAAACATGGACGGCTATGCAGACATAGCGGAAAGGCACATTTACTTGAAAAAGTTGGAATCGAAGAGATTAACAAGGTCGTTGAGCAGGTATGTATCTTTGATTTTCTCCGGTCTTTGTCTAACTCAACTGATATACTCTGGGCAGCTTCGCATTATCCATAATAAATTCAGGTTTCATTTTCACCTTCTTGTGGCGTCATGGAATCCCAACACGTCAATGACTCGGGCGCTGTATCAAGACGAGTTCACTTCTTGTGAGCATTGGGCCAATCATGCACGGACCGACTTCCATTTGCTCAAACGATTTGCTGTTGCATCGACTCAAGCACCATCCACTGCCTTAAAGTCAAAGACGAAAGCAACCAAGTCTACTCCTCAAGCTAACATTAGAAAAGAACTCATAACACGTCTCAATGGTCTTGTTGGTCAGTTCATCTTTTCATCTTTGCCGCATTCATCTCTCTTTCATTGGGTCCTGTCACTGCATTGACATTATACAATCATGTAACAGAAGCACACCTTCCAGGTGGCCGCCAAGTCAAATCCGACACTCACCCTCAAGGCCCAAATCCCCAAATCACACTACCAACAAAGAAGTTCCGCTCCGGTGTCAAACTCGCAATCCTCCGTCTACCTGGTTTGAAAGTTACCGACGAGATGCTTTCAAAAGGTGCTGCAGCAGGACAACTGCCAGATGCTCAAGTCAAATTGTGGATTGAAGACATCACCGCTAATAGGTACTTGGTTGTTAAATCCAACGTTACTTGTTTGACATCTCATTCCCCATCGGACCAAGATGGCGTTGCCCCGGTAACTACACAGGCGGCCTAACTGCAACTGACATTCAAAATCACAGATTTGGTATTTTTTTACCTCATCTTTATAATCTCCTAGCTTGATCGGGTCTTCCTCTCTCTCTGAAGACACATATTATCCTTTGTTCATATTATCCTTTGTTCTCGTGTTTTACTGCAATTCAATTACTCATGTATTGACAAACATAGGATTACACATTTATAAACAATCTTTATGGTATGGCAAATTCAAACTGTGAAACATGTTTTTAGACCATGACTGAAAGATAGCACAAGGGAGTACCAACACATCACGATTCACCAAGGTTATTTTTCCATCATCCACCTTATCAAATTCAGAATTTATAATCCTTTCTTTCCATTCCCTGATCAATCATCTGTTTATCTTGCTTCGCCTGCTGACTGCCTGCCAAACTATAACACTATAACCGCTCTCAGACCCCTATTCACACCCTGACTTGAGGTATGAAAAACCAGATGAGGTAAAAATACATGAGAAAAAGTACCCCCATCAAATTTTAAATCAACATGGGGTTACGTCAGGTCATGTACAGTTTTTTCCCAATTGCAAACAGAAGCAGACCAAATTAGGGTAAGTCGTAATTGGTATCAAGTGTATCTGAGAGTCTGACACGCGCCCAACTGCTTTTGTTCTTCCACTTCCACTCACCCACACTCGACCCAGCCTCAACTAACCGCACGGACCGCCCAACCAATAAATCAAATTAACTCCTTAATTCAAGCGGTCCACCTTTCACCAGTTTGGTTTATTCCATTACATCGGGGGTATCTTCCTTTTCAATTCTTCGATTGCCACATCTATAGCTGATCAAGGCTTTCCATCTCTCTTTCAATCATTTGGACATCTGTTCTGCCTCTTCTTCCTCGTCATCTTCGGTAGAGTCTTCAACACTGAGCTCAGGATCGGAAGAGTCATGCAACGTTGTGAATCCAATTATTGACTTAGGTGTTTTGTTGTTTGATATTCAAAAATAGTTTATAAAAGCCATCCGAAATTTTCCACGTCCCGAGTTCCCCAAATCTGATCCGGACGGCTCGATGTATTACGAATGAAACTATCTATGTCTTTACGAACTGATTCAAGTGGGAGCTTTTCACTGTTCTTTAATCTGTAATTTTCTATTCACCTTTTAATTTTGATTCTAATTACTGACAACAATCAGCTCAATGACCGGTTTGAGAAAACCCATTCAATGAAGCCATGCAAATGGTACAAAGGTTTACATCATCTTCAACCCCACATTTCCAGACGGTATGTATTTGTACATTCCCTTGTCAGTCTGATGAAATCTCCCAACTTTCGCCAAGGTTGTCACTCAAGTTTATTTAATCGATTTTTATCCATTAGGACTGTCAAGCAACCTGTTGTTTACTGCGATTCAATTCACGTGGAGAGGGTTGGACTAGGGTAAGAGGTCTGTGCATCAATATCACTGATACCGCACACTCTTACTCTCATAACGTTGTCAAAATTTATAGGGTACAGTATGATCTTACACTGATGAGTCGTGCAATCTGAATATTTGACTGGAAACGGAGTGAATCACTTTTTTGGTAATAAATCAAAGGGAAGGAGGTATAAGAAATTATGGGTTGGATGTAGTTGTTCTTTGCCTTATATGTTCATGACAATATATCCACATACATGTCCTTAGTCGTTAAACATTTGCTGTCAAGATCTGAAATTATCCCGCTGTACCTCCTGCTTCCATTTTGGACTTGAAACGATTTCACGCGTGAGTGTACAGTAAAGTTTTGCCAATAACAACGAACAAAGACAATAGAAGCAAGCTCCCCGCGCCTCAAAAACCCTTCTGTGAGCAGAAAAATTTCATGTACAAAGTGATTGTCAAATATGGGCAACTCGAAAGGTGAGATGAGGTGAGAATCCTCCTCAAATGTGAAACATGAGTAACAAACATATGGGCAACTCAAAAGGTGAGATGAGGTGAGAATCCTCCTCAAATGTGAAACATGAGTAACAAACTTGAAATGAAAGTACCCAAAATTGATGTCACGGAGAGCTCCAAAGAGTAAGAACATATATGGAAGAATCTGATAATAACATTATCATCTGATGATGTGACAAAAGAATTAGTTACAAATGAACACAAGAAGACTCAGCATATGAGAACAATAGCTGTTTGCTGATAGACAGAAGAGGAAAGGGTTGAGTATCTGTGATACACGTAGTGTATCAACAAGGACCACATCCTTTGGTTTTGAGGGAAAGTGCCAATTCGACTTGAAGGTAAACTGAGACTTCCAACATGGATCATGACCCTGCTATGTATATCTAAAATGGCCAAATCGATCAAGACTGCACCCACCGTCAATCTGGGCAATTGTCGGTGGTAATAGTAATGGCAAATACCGCGCAGGTGATAAAAACATTTCTATGACTTTGAAGGTTAGATATAAACAATAATTATATGATATAATCAATAAAATAGAAACCATGAAATCATGATGTTGGTGATCTCTTAAGAAAAAAAGGGAACATAACCGAGAGGAGAGTTTCAGTGTCTTGAAAGTAATATAAACCGTAGAGTTACAAACACAGAAGGTTAAAAAGATCAATATGAAGAAGATCACGCCTGAGCAAATGTCTATAGATGTCATGGAAGTGTAGAGATCGGAATTTGTATCCTAAAGGATAATCAGTAATGATGGCATAGAGCAGCACTGACTCACACATATTCAATTGGTCACAATTGTGAATCCCTTCGCTTCACAGAGTTCCTTTGCCTGATTTATGACTTCATACTAGATGATTCCCTCACTCGGATCTTCAAAAAAATCTATTCTTCAGTACTTATTCTCCTTTAGGGCAGTGTTGATCTGATCAATTCATATGTTCAACAACTTCTTTGTTGGAGTCCTTTACGCGTTGAATGCTGAATCCCATTTTTACTTTTAGGAATACAATTGGTGTAAGACTTTCATGCAAGTTTCAATTGCTTATTGATAAAAACTGAAAGAAGTGACTAACCAGAGATATGCGGATTTATAAAAGTCTGAATTTTTTGTAGCCAAAAACAAATTTTGAAGGATTTCTTCTGTCCAATGTAGTCATGCTAAGCAAATGGTCAACACAATAATTGACTGTTTACAAATATCAATCATGAGAAATTGAAACATTTGAACAAAGACACTTTCAAAAAAATCAATCACGATTTCATTTCAATTTTGTACTCTTTGTAGGATAATACAAGATCCTTGAGTGTTTTTCTTTTGTTGACTCAATTGAAAATATTATTGTCCTTTAGGGCAGTGTTGATCTAATCAATTCATAAGTTGAACAATTTTTTTGTTGAAGTCCTTTAGGCGTTGATATGCTGGATCCCATTTTTACGTTTTCATAGCAAAAGCCAGTTTCATTCAAATATCGTAGATTACGCGAATATAACAAACACATAGCATCATTTGCTTTTGCCAACTTGCAATCCACTTACACCAGACAAACACCTATGCGTTGGGTATCTACAATAGGGATTAAAGGTTTACATTTGACCATATTACGAGGCATCTTAGCACATGATTATAACCATTTGGTCATCAGTGCTTTTCATTTGTGATTATGTCATTACAATAACAGTAGGTTTGTTAAACTCAATAGATATTAAACAAGTTACTAGAATGAAGCATTTAATTATACATACTCCGATCACTTATGAAAGAGATCAGACACAATAGCTTGATGAAAGTCATGAACCCTTATTACCCAATGCCCCATTCTCAGAAGCTGGATATTGACCAATTCAAGACGCTAGAGGCTAGTTCAGTTTACCTGTATGCAATGTGCCATATTGGTAATTGACAGAGTCTAGTCCATTAACAACCCCCAAAGGGATATAGTATAGCATTAATATTAATTTTCCATTTAGTAATCAAAGCCAGCAATTGACTTACTATCCTCGAGTCACACCTTATCTATCTTTGCTATCCATTGTCATTCATTACAGATGCCGTCCAAACCGTATAATCGGCCTCTCAAGAAGATCAATAAAGATCCCAGACCAGTGACCACTCGTCAGCGCGAGTTTGTAGAGCAGAAAAAAAAGAACAAACTTCATATTGGTAGTTCTCGATTGGCTACGCCTAACCGCGGGCCTGAACCAGTTCCAGATTTGAACAATCATTTAGACTATCACAATGAAGATGACGAACAAATGGATGATGATCAAATCATTAACCTACCCGGACCGATGAATATCGAAGAGCAAGAGCTGGAAATCCAAGAAGTCAGTGATAATGGAGATTCTGAATTCGATAGTGATGACGATATTATCTCGGGTCTTGCAAGGGTACACTACGATGAACGTCGGCTACAACAAGAAGTTCAATGGACCGAACAGTGTGCGCTTATGCTTACACCTTTTCTACGATGCCGCAAATTGACCTCAAATTGGGGTCATCTAAGACGTTGGAATGAGGACTTTAAAAGACCATGTTCGTGTTCACAACGTCGGTTACGAACTACCTCGGTCACTCTGGTGGATTTGTTGAGTGAGTTGTGCTGGTTTCTTTACTTATAATGTATTGATTGATAGATACATTATTGTACATTCAGCTCGAGATATTCAGCAAGTAACCTTTTGTGACTGTGTGTCAGATCCTGTTCGTCTTGTTGAAATGGGTTATATTGGAGCGACCCCAGTACATCCAAAAACCGCCTTTTCAATACGCTTGCTCAAGCACTTCCACGTTATTTGGAAATACTGTGCAACACGCACTCAGGGATTTGTACGAGGGCTCGACGAGATACTCGATGATATCAGCCCCCCCATCGAGACCAAAAGTGGTAATGTAGGCCTTTTTGCTAGGTTTGCTTATCAATTACGTTGACTTTTTTGTATTCCTTTTAAATTCAAAGCCGAGAGATTGGCGAGAACTTTTCACTTCGGCTCTGGACGCATATAGGACCATCCTGACTAGCATCCGCAAGCAGGAGTTTGTTCTGCTAAAATTCACCGCTATTGATCACCTAGCAGCAAATTGTCCTAGGTGTTTTGGACCGCCCGAAGGAAACACAGAAGCCGACGAGCCAAATTACATAGTATGTATGGATGGGAACTTTCAGCATCGCAGGCACGCGGCTGCAAGTGTCCCAATTCCTGGATATCAACCGGAAACCCCTGAGTTATTTATGAATAGCTGCATCCCAGAAGAAGCCGGTCAAAATCCACAGGGGCCTGCTAATGATGAAGAGGTGGTAGGTGTCAATTCCATGTTCTCTTTAAAACTTGCCAACAATCTAACTTTTTATTATCAACAGCATCCTTGTAGTGAGCAACATACAGCCGCGAACGACGTGCGAGGAAAGTCTCACTGGGGAGGATGCGATGATACAGGTCTTTTTGGCATGGGATGCCGGCATGATCACACTCTGCGTTTCATTAACATCGTACAGAGTGGAGAAAAGTATGTGTTGAAATCAACTCCTCTGGTTGGATTTCGCTTTCAATTCCCTCCTAGTTTAACAGTGAAATCTCATTATGTAGAGCTGTCTTTGGGTTATCGATGATCGATTGGATGTTGAAAACAGTTGCCGAGGTCCGCGGTGATAGGAATCGGGTTGGATTCCTATATGATATCGGATGTAATGTGGAAAAGGGGATTCTGAAAGTGAGTGTGTTTTTTGTTTTTCTCTTCAAGAATCGAGTTTTTTGGTTGGTTCTTACCTTTCTGGCTCAGCGCAATCAATTCGCTACCAAACGTGAGCAAGGCAGGTTGAAATTCGGGACCAGCGTATTTCATGCCTACGTTCATGAGTGGGGTTGTCAGTTGGACTACAATCCTAGACTGAACAAAGGTTTCGGTCTATCGGACAGGGAAGGTATGGAGCGAAGATGGTCAGATTTGTCGCCACAGATAAGACCAAACCGGTATGCAACTGCACAACACAGATTGATTAGTATTAGTTTACGCTCAATTCATGGTAATGAAGTTTTAAAAGGTAATGCAGGTGAGTATCCTTAGTATTCTCGATTTCATCTTGATTTGGCAACTTGTCTTATTAACATACTACCTAATCCGTACAACAGTCCGATCAATTCAAAGGCGAGGCAAGGAAGTCAAGAAAAGATTCGATGAAGCGGAAGCTGAATTGGCAAGCATACTTGCTAGATTTCCAACTCATACCATAGGACACCTGGAAGCGCAGTGGCTGAGACAGAAGGAGATACAAAAGAAAGTCATCAGCGAGAGTGCAAAAGACAAGTGTAAGCAGGTGGAAGTATATATTGCACTTGAAGAAGAACTACTTGAGGCACGGTATGTAGCCTAGTGACACTCCAGTAAGGCGTAACATCAATCTGATAGACTGCTGAATTACCAGTGATCAACTCAAGAACCTCCATAGCACAAGGAGAGCGGCACGTACTGAAGAAGAAAGGACCGAACTCCTAAGATTACCTCATACGATTGTCCTTTTGGAACAGAGGGCTAATGATTTTGCTACAGAGCTGGGGGTCGCAAATCTCAATCGGCTGACAGATGCGTCAGGCAAGTTTTCATATTTTTGGAGTTAGATTTAACACTGACAGTTATTTGTTATCTTAGATGATGACAATCAAGCTGGCAAAGGCAAAGCTCTACGAGGCAAAGGTTGGAGTAGTTGAAAATCAGAGACGAGCTCATCTTCAATTAGGTCATTTTTGTTTCCTGATTGCCGCAAAATATTTTGTATTTATCTTATGCTTCTTTCTAATCTAGGAACATCGTATCAAGCTCGGATCAACACTTTAAAGAAGAAGAAGGGGGTCCTATTACGAAAAAAGTACAACACTTATAAGCGGCATGTGACCAGGTATAATCAACAGCGCAGGAGGAGAGACGCATTACCTCTTCCATCTTTTGACAAAGTGTCTTCAATGCCAGTCACTCATGCGTTCTGGGATATAGGAGGGTTGAGTCATCCTGAGGAAGAGTGGGCTACCAATGAATACACACAACAGGGTATCAAAGCTTACTTACTAAAGAGAGCAGCAGGCGAAGAGCTCAGGCGTATTGCTAGAGAAACTCGTCATCTGATCCGCTGGGCACTTGAGTATCAAGAGAGGATTGATAGCATACAGGTAGAGATATTACGCACACAGGGTAAGTTCTTCAGTTTGTTTTACATGTATCTGTCAAATTGCGTCTGTTGATTTTTCTTTATCGTCGTAGATACGACCAAAGTAACCCGTATGGAGCACTTGTATCCGTCTTTGGCTCAAAGGGCTCGCCGTTTATGGAAAAAATGGAATCAAGGAATGGAGGATGCGATGGTATGGACAGCACCATACATGGTTGATCGAGCTGATAACTCGGACCAAGACTTGCTTGTCCGGTGGAGACTTATGAAAGCAAGGACTCAGATGGCAGATATGCCAGTTTTGATTGCCGAAGAATGAAATCTAGTTTGAACAAGCTCATGTTTAATTCAAATACTTGAACTTCCTTTTACATTCTATATGCATTGCATTTGTTTACTTTGAGAAGAGCCAAAAAAAGAGAAACCAAACCTCTTCAAATACAACACTACGTAAGAAAAACTTTACAACAAGAAGTTTACGACTTTTTCGACCGACTGCGAGTAAGTCTCGAGGGCATCTTTGTTTGTTTGTCTTGTTGTGCCTCTGTCTCTGCCTTGCGGGCTCGCTTGCGAGTGAGAGGATGTGGGATTGCATTCGGGCTAACCACATTCGGTTCAGTTGCAGTGTTTTTGCATGGTGGTGAACACTTTAGATCGGCGGGATTAAATCCATAGGTAGGAGTTTGATTTGTAGGCATCAAAGGTGAATTAATATCACAAGCCGTGAGAACACAGGTGGTGGCTTGATGCGAGGGTGATAGCGAGGGGGTATTTGAAATTTCAGCAGGGAGCATGTCATTTGATGTTTTATCGATTTGAGTCTAACAAATTGGGTTGTTATCAGTCAGCATTGTACTTGTAATCAGCTTGAAAGAAAACATCAATACATCTATCTGTTGGTCTTCGACTTTGTTTTTATCCACATGGCGACTGTCATCCTGGACTTCAGAATGGCTTGGGTTGGACTATATTGGAAATGATATTGTGAGCTTTGATTGGAGCATATCTAGAGATGGTATATCAATGTGAGACAGTAAACAATAACTTACTACTGTGTTGAGTAAGCCTCCCATACCTACTGAATTGGAGTCAGTGTTTGCCTGAGTTTGAGTTCCAATGATAGCACCCAGTTTTTCAGTTGTTGAGAGAAGGTTGTCAATCTGAACGAATAAGAGTTGCTGTTGTTCAACAGACAGTGCGAGTATCCGTTGAGAAAAGGTGTGAATGAATGAATGGGTGGTAATATGAGCCGTTTGTGTCTGGGTCGAGTCAAGTTGAGTTTCTTTGAGATCTGGGTTATCGGAGATTGTTGAGATTAGCTCGATCGATGGTTGGATAACGTGTGGCTCGATAGAGGGTTGAATATTGAGATTGGGTGGATGGTTGTGAGTCGTATTCAAATGGGAAAGCGTCCAAGACTGATTTTCGGGGTTATATTTAGCCTTGAGTTGAAATGGGCAGTTGATTTTCAAGGACTTTGATGTTGATTCTTTAGGTGGTTGCTTTGTAGCTCTGGGTAACCCACTACAATGACATACATATTTGATTGAGGTCCTTGCGATAGACGAGTTACGAATTGAAATTATATAACCATGCTGAGTTGCAAAGTTCTTCACATATTGGTTCATCGATTCTCGCTTGACATTGTTGAGTGTGGTGATGGGAGGTGGGGCGGGTATATCAGTGTTTGGAGTGTTGGTTTCAGGTGATTCCATATCTGATTGTGATCTTGAAGTGAAGGATGATTAGAACACGCTCAAGGAGGGTAGTGGGTGGTATGGTGGTGAGAAAAAATCAATAGTGGCGGGTGGTGTGGTACCGTGGTGGTAAGCAGGGTAAGTTGGTGGTATGGTGGTGAGAAAAAATCAATAGTGGCGGGTATTGGAAGTCATTTTTATTTTTCTATCTTAATTGTTATTCTTTTATTTTTCAGGTAATCGTCAAGACCTTCAAACGTTAAGACTGAAATTCAACATTTACTTATTTAGAAAACAAATGAAGTAAGAGCTAAAACGTACATCAAAGGGTTAAGTAGATTGGCGAGAAGAGAACGGGTTGGGATGATTGCTCTTGTATGCAGGGATGTGTGGACACGTGACGCGTGATTTTTGTCTTCTCTCTTTTTGATCATTTATACTCTTGTTCTCTTTTGTCCCCTTTTGATTTTTCTTTTTCCCCACCGTTTGGGAAAAGAAAATCTAAAGGCAATGTTTTTCTATTCTTATTATTATTCGAGTCAGACTCTTTCATTAACTATCAATATTTGCTTTTTCATTTCGCGTTTTCTTTCTTTTTAACTTTTCAATCTTCTACTAGTCTTTATCTCTTTTTACAAACCTTGTCAGGTTTGCTTTTTATCTTTGATCTCTTCGAGTCTCGTCAACTCGCTGTCGAGAGGTCTCATATTGTCTTGTTCTGTTAAAGGTTTGCTTTTTATCTTTGATCTCTTCGAGTCTCGTCAACTCGCTGTCGAGAGGTCTCATATTGTCTTGTTCTGTTAAAGGTTTGCTTTTTATCTTTGATCTCTTCGAGTCTCGTCAACTCGCTGTCGAGAGGTCTCATATTGTCTTGTTCTGTACTTGAAGTAGTGGTGTGGTGTGGTGAGGGGTGTGGGGTAAGTTGGTGGTATGGTGGTGAGAAAAACTCAATGGTGGCGGGTAGTGGTGTGGTGTGGTGAGGGGTGTGGGGTAAGTTGGTGGTATGGTGGTGAGAAAAACTCAATGGTGGCGGGTGGTGTGGTGTGGTGAGGGGTGTTTGGTGTAGCCATGGCTTGGTTGGAGATATATGTATTACTTTTGCTAAAAAGGAAGCCCGGGGTGAAAAAAATAAAAATAAAATGTAGCCCAGAATTTCACCGCAGTCACTGCAGTGGGCATATGTACAGCAGCAGACACGGTCAGAGATTTTGCAGGTGCAGCCCCGCCTCCAATCTCGACCAATTTGATTCAGCTCCTTCAAGAGAGCCTGCCAGCAACCATAAATTTTCATACTTGTCTTCTCAATGGGGTTCCGTAAATATTCAGCTGATATCAAAGTGCTTGCTGTTCGCTGGAGTCTTCAAGGAATTCCAAGATCTTTAATCCGACAGCGACTCAGCAAGCGGATTTCTCGCCGATCCTTTGGCCGATGGATCGAGCTCTACAACCTAACTCGTGCAGTCATACGCGATCCCAACACCTACGAACGCCGTGGTCGGCGCCAGCACTTGAATGCCACGGATCGCAAATTCATGGAAGAATTGGTCCTCAACCAGCCAGCACTTTTCCTCGACGAGATTCAAGAAAAACTTTACAATGCACATGGGAAGATGCCTTCCATAAGTACCGTTCATCTCGAACTTATGAGCCGTCTTATGATAAGCTTGAAGAAGGCCTGTGTCAGTAACGCTCGGAAATCCCTGATGCCAAAATTGAAATGGATGCGCGATATGATGGGCTATCCATCCAACTTCTTAGTTTTTACAGGTCAGTCCAATTTCACTTTCTATCTCATATCTTCTGTATTGAAATCCTCTACCTGCTCACGAATTGCAGACGAGAGCGCAGTCTGTGGACGGGATCTACTACGAAAACGTCAGCGAAGCAAGATTGGAGTACGCACCACTCGCAAGGTTCCTAAGATGCATCAAGGACGGTATTCCCTCCTTCCAGCCATCACTTATGATGGCTTGCTGGCTCTTTCAGTTCTTGAGGGGCCGGTGAATCGGAAGCAATTCGAGAAATTTTTGAAATACAGCTTAGTATGTGGTTTTCCCTTTACTTCAATAGCCATTGTTCCAGACTGACCTCAATCCAATGTACAGCTTCCTCGCATGAATCGATTTCCAGCAGACAATAGTGTCTTAGTACTGGACAATGCCTCAATCCATCGTGGTGGATCGATTTCTGACCTCTGTCGTAAGAGAGGTATGTCTAATCTCATCATCTTTCCTCGGTCATGTTTTCATTTCACTGACTCAAGCGGGACAAATTAAACTTTAGGAATTCTTCTTCGTTACCTACCACCATACTGTCCTGAGTTGAATCCGATTGAACTCGGATTCAATGCCTTCAAATTTGACCTCCGAAGATCACAAGTATTGGCGACTAGGACTAACCCAATTGGACCAATACGAAGGGCTGCCCATAAGACCTTTGGACCCGAACTATTACCTAAGTTATACCACCATTGTGGTTATCGCACATTTGATGAAGTGCTCGATCGTAGAATGGAAGAAATATGATACTTTTCAGCCAATGAGGTATGAGACATTCGTTTGTAGCTTTCAAGTTGTTTAGCTCAGTGGATTGATTTCCTTTCAAATCATCTTTTTAGCTCATATGATTCATTTCCTTTCAAATCATCAAGATCGGCCTTTTCATGGACCGAGTCTTTCTTTGGTGCGACTACACTTCAGGGAATCCTTGGATGAAGTTTTAAAGAAATGAATTTAAATCCAGATCAACTTTGGTTTAAAGAACACGTTTATGGCTCGAAGATCTTCTCGACAATAGTGAATTCGAATCGATCGATCTCAAGTTTATGACTTTCTTCTTGGCTTACAAGTCTTCAAGGAAATTGATTGCTTCACTTGGCTTTGGTTTTTCGATTTCATTTTCACTTTATCTTTTGATCGTTAACTTCGTTGGACTAGATGGGATCACAGGGATATATTCGGCTTATTGGAAACAATCTTTGGTGCGACTACACTTCAATATGAGTTACATACGTCAAATCGATCAGCTTCAGATCACATCTAAATCTCCCAATCAAATTGAATCGATCCAAAGTCCTCAAATCCAATCCCATCAGTCCTGTACATTCAAATCATCATTCATTTCAAGAAACTATCGAACCAAATCAAAGTGATTCAATCGGTGGATCTAGTTTTGTCCTTAATTTACATACTAGTAGAACTATAGTAGAACTATGATTGTCTAGAGCACACTTTTGAATGAAATTTAAAAATAACAGTTTGCTCTTTTGGCTGAGCCCGATATACATAAGACACAACTTAGGTGGATCTTTAGACATTCAAATGGGCTAAGAGCACCATCTGCTGATGAGAAAGTTGGAAGAAAGTTGTGATTAAGCTATTCAAATGGGCTAAAATCACCGTTATCCTTGTTTTGTTGAGTGTGATGTAAGAAAGATCAGATCGAGCTGAAAAATTGACTCGATCCTAGGGCAAAAGATACACATCATGTCCAATCAAGAGTCAAACTTGATGTCTTGAAATCATCCAGATCGAGCTTAATTTGAAGCTCGATCATTTGAGTCTAATTGTCTTTGAGGGCACAGATAGAGCAGGATCGAGCTGAAGATTCAGCTCGATCCTAAGACAATCAAAAGTCACTTGGTGGCGACTTCAGAGGGAGAGATCTCTGTCTCCAAATCACCATGACCAAGCTTTGTTTGAAGCTCAATCATGTAAACTGGTGTGAGGCAGGGTCAGAGGACCATGATTCTAACAAATGGTACGGTTATATTACTTTTAAAACTGTAGTCTTAATATTACCCACTAATCACAACAATAGAGGGTCAAAATCTAATCAGTAATGTAAAGCCAGGATTAAAACATTGAAGTGCGCCTTGCTTTCCGAGCGGTACTGCGTTCACAGGTCCTGTTACTTATATACTTCCGAGAATCTAAGTATAGCATAGTGATTGAAGCCTTGGACAATCCATGTTGAGCTAGATCCGCTCGAGATAAATGTTCTTCTGTGATCATTCTATGGTCGGTGATTTCCGCTTCTTTTAAAATCTGGCGAATGTGGTCTTTTCTATCATCTGGTAAAGTGCAGAACTGAAGGAATCCTTCGGTTCCATTTGCGGCGGCGGGATCATATGACAAAGGTGAAGATGACACATGAGGAAATGATTCGGGTGTATTCTTTCGTTTATGAGAAGCATGTGGAGTTGTAGGTGGCTCGACATCGCCAGCTAGTTGCTTTTGAGGTGATCGTACTGCTTCACCAATGGCTCCCGCGAGGCTAACAACAAGTTGAGTGATAGCGGCAGGGGTGAAACTATTGGATTCAGACTTTTCAGTTGATGAAGCGGGAGGTTTGTTTTTGACCTTCTTGCTGAGGTCATACTTGAAATGGGCGGGAGGGGTATCCATGCTAACCTCATCTTGGTTCTTGCAAATGATACACCCAAAAGTCAGCTTACATAGGTAATGAAGAGAGGCATTCAACTTACTCGTAGCCTAGCCCACTCTTCTGCTTTATCAAGCGTCAAAACAAAGTATTGAGTGGAATCGGTTGGATCTGTCACAATCGGACACCTTTTGTGGTAGCGACCGTCCATCTTGTGGTGGTCAAGAAGGTCACTCGCAAACTTGTTCTCGTGATCGCCAGCCGTTTGTTCCATATTGTCTGATCCACCGTCAGACTTTGGGTTTGAGATCAAATAAAGACACATCAGTCTAGTTTGAGAAAAGGAGTGGTTAGTAGACCGATAATCTCACCTCTTCAGAGTCAAACAAATCCTTGTCGATTCCTTGTTTCACCTGAAGCTTGTGCTTGCGCTCAGCTGAAGCCACAATTAGCTCGGTGCGAGCAGCCTGAAGAAATTCAAAAACAGATGAGACATAATGAGACCCCCTGGCTTGAGATAGGGCGGACTCACTTTTTCAGCTTGAGCTTTGACCTTGTTTGGATGAGGTGCAAAGTAGCTGATCCCAGCTTCCCAACCTGGAAACACAGCTTCGCCCTCTTCGACCCATTGTTGA